AATTAAGGGGCAAAAGTGAGAAAAAAATGTACTCTGCTTATCAGGAGTCTATAATGGCACTTACCATCAAGAATTTAAGTGAATATGATTAAGAGGAAAACATATAAGAGTGATTCACCCGAGCCTCCTTTCATGTGGATTTATCTAAACAACCATGAAAAGTTAATTTTTCTCCTGTTTGAGTTCCATTGAGTGAAATTTTTATTCATTCATCCACACTGTGTAAGTGATCTCCCTTGCAAGGAATTTAGCAAACCATTGATGAAACTGAAAAAAATTTCTCCCAGCATCAAGAGTGTAATAATTCCAATGCCAATTAGGACGAGAGGATGGAGATGATTGTTAACTGCATTGGACATGCTAAAGATTAGGACAATGATAAGAGAAAGAAAAATCAATGAGGAGCTTCTTCAAATGTCTCTAAGTACTATGGATAGCATAAAATTTTGCAGAAAATTTGTGAAGGATCCTGAGAACATTCATCTCTTTCTTGGATTTCACGGAGACAATAGGAAGATATTTGTGGAAATGTTTCTCCAAGAGATGATAGATGAGAATGGCTGATGATTTGTTCTCTAAATGTGCTATTTCTTGTGAAGTCTGGAGCTTGGTTTTATAGTTTTGGTGGTATTCAATGAATTAGGCAGAGTTGGAGCGATGAGTCGCAGTGGATTTGTATGAGTTAGAAGGGGAAAGTTGTACCTAATTTTGTCTATAAATAATAGGTCTCTTGTGTAGTCCTTTTATTGTTTTATGACAATGAACAACATTGGAATCATATGTTTTCTAAATGTCTATTTCCTGTGAAGTCCGGAGCTTTGTTCATAGTTGTTGTGGTATTTGAAGATTTTAGCAGAGTCATAGTGATGAGTTGCAATGGATTTGTGCTAGTTGGAAGTGTAAAGTTGGAGCTAATGTTGCTTGCAAGATTGCGTAGTGTGCTGTTATTTATCTCATCTGATATGAGATGAATCGAAAGTTTCATCACTATTATAGTGATATTATGTCCAGAGTTAAACGGGTGATGTTTTGTATAGGCTTGCATCATCCAAACCGGTAATTCTTTTGTTCAATCTCAGAGTAGCCAAATTTATAGTAATTATGTAGTAACTGGACACTCTTAACTTGAGTTGTTGTATTTCTTGAGTTTCGATTGCAAGCCTTTCTTTCCTTCGTAGTAGGATTCACCTATTTTGTTTATTTGAATAAAACTCACTTACCATTGAGTACACTTACATAGAGAAGTACCTCTTGTTGAAAATCCCAATATATTATCCAGCTAACGATGAACAACAAGCCTTATTAATCCATTTCTTCAACAAAAAACACTTGTTATTTCGGCTCTTTAATTAATTTTGACCCAAGTTTGAAAACAAATAAATTAACTGCCCTCGTAAACATATCGACAAAAGGAAGTGCAGTTTTTGTCATTTTTTGGGTACAAAGAATAGTTTATATAATGCTAAATAACGCAAAGAATAATTTAAATATATTGGTTTGTAAGTCTTCTTTTTTTTTGCGCCGAGGTTTGTAAGTATAATTAAGTGTGCATGTTTTCAAGTATACTTATGCATGAGAATGATACTTTTATGATGATAAGATCAATATTATTTCATGGGCACTGCGCAGGGACATATATCTCATTTATATTGGTTTTCACCAAATAATGGATATGATAGGATATAAAAATATCCGACTTTAAATTTGAAATTTACCAAACAGTGAATAAGATATGACAAAATTCCTGAATTTCTTATCCTATCTTATTTAGTTCTATCCTTATCCGAGACCCGGACAACCAAATGCAGCCCTTGGGTATATAGATATGAAGCGACGACATTAGAAAAGTCCGAATGTTTTCTTATGTATGTAAAAAAAAAGTATTAGTGTCCATATGAAGTTTTGAGGTTGTTTTGATTAAAACTTGACTATAATCATCGCTGGGCGAATGGACAAGATCATCTTAGAATGATTTGTGAGGTGAAACTTATTTTTGTAGCTTTTCTGAGCATAATCCATGCTATACTGTTCTTTTCTAACGGTACTCCAGAGCATAAAGCGGTAGAAAATTAAAAGATCTACTTACCAATAAGAATGAATTTAGCTAAGATTTACTTACCAATAAGAAGGAATTTAGCTGTCTTTCTACCATTGATGTATTTATAGCTGCCCACCGTGTTCACACATTTCGCATGGCACCTGGTTGGATCTACTTCACATTCGTCAATGTCTGATGACAAAGGACAAAATAAATATATTAGCAGCCAAACCCATCTCATTCTCCTTGAGTAAAATCAGCGAGATCAGTAGGTCGCCATTTCCTCATAAGTTGTTAATTCCATGGCTATAATATTATTCTTATGATGAAACCCATCTCCATGAGTAAAATTAGGGCAGTCCCGTTCCCCTTTATTTCCAGTAAATTACTATGAATGATATAATCGATTCGATTTTGTCTGAAAGTGCATTCACTTTGTATAATCTTCAGGAAAACATGTGTGATCATTAGATACTGTGAAGTATGTTACCTTGGCATCCTCCACTGACATAGGGGTTACCCTGATACCCCGGTAGGCAATAGCACTGCATAAATGGCATTGCATTTACATACCGATACACGCTGGAGAGGCTGTATCCGCCGCAGTGAGCAGGATAGTTCAAGATGTTTGATCTTGCTGGATAAGGTAGGCTAGGAAGCACCGACACGCTGGGAGGCGTCCGAGTCGGTGTTGGACACGTGCCGCGTGTCCGATACGCTCGGACACGCGGTCAACGCGCCGGACACGCCAGCGACACGCATGTCCTTCGTCACCGAGAGAGATGAGGAAGAAGAAGCAGATCTCTGGCGCCGAGGACGACGCCGTCCACGCCATCATCTCCTTCGCCTCCCGCTTCTCCGGCGCCGAGGACGATGCGCTTCACGCCGTCATCTCCTTTGCCTCGCGCTTCGCCGGTGACGGAGGAGAAGGAAGCTGGAGAGAGGAGGAGGCGGAGGGATAGAGAAGAAGATATTAGGGTTTTGAAGTGAAAGTGGGCTGCAAGTGTCAGGCATCGTTTTGGCGTACAAATCATAATGAAGGCCTACACATACAGTGACGCCAATTAAGAAATTTCCTGTTTTTCCACATAAAGATAAAAGGGTTGCAGAGTTAATCTACCCCACCTGCAGAAGATAAGATAGCCACGACCCCAAAAGGGGAAGGAGGGTTTTGAAGTGAAAGTGGGCTGGGCTTTGAAGTGAAAATAGATAATGGGCTGCTTTTTTATTTTTGATCTTGTACTTTCTTTTTTTTCAAATTTGATTATTTACTTTCAGTTTCTTAACTAGTATATTAATTTATACATAATTATTTTTTGAAAACTTATGTGTACAATTTTTTTAGGGTAAATTCATTCTAGGCTTTTTATTATTATTTATTTATTTGAATCAAATTTAAAAATGATAATTTATCATGTATATATAAAGCTATATATTTAATATACAACGTCTCCAACGTGTCGGAATTCTCTATTTTTTTAGAAATGACGTATCGCATGTCGTGTCGTGTCGCGTGTTGGTGCTACTTAGAAGGTAGGTAAGGTTAGCAATCCCCCATTCCAACACAACTGGAGCCGCATCTTTCAATCTCAAATCATATAAATCTGTAACCTTGGACCTGAACCATGATGTATCTGCCAGGAAGGCGTACTTGCACCCCTGATGTCCACCTTCTTCTTTGATATCAGCATTAAAGCCCTGAAGGTTAAAGGGGAGTGTAGAGTCTGGCAGCAATCATCCCTCCCGGAACAACCACCAGACCGGCTAATGTTGGTATCGGTTCTGGTACATACTGTCGCCAGGGTGTTGCAACCCACCGATATAAAGACGTTTATTGTCGGGGAGAAGACAAATTGACTTCCTTTCAAGTTCACCGTCGCACGTCCATCACCCCTGCGCATTTGAGTGAACTAAAGGAAGACTGACGTTAATCATGCCGTTAATGGATCCAAGGTAATCGGGGAGTGAAATGCCTAGAACTCGCAATCCAATCTTCTTTAGGATGACCTCATTGTTTTTCTGGCAGTTGAAATCGTACCAGTCATCCAAGAAACAACCGGCTCCTATTCCGAAGGGGAAGGGAATGGTGATGTTCCCACATATTTCTTTACAGCCATTCTTTGTAAGTCGAGGAGCACCTCCTGATGCTTGTTCCGTAAGGGAAACCAGAAGCGAAAGGACTTGAAACACTGAGCTCGACATGGTTTTCACGTTTTTGTATGTGCATGGACCTAAACCTTCGGAGAAAGGGGATGTGGGCTGAGTCCCTCAACAGTGTTATTCAAGGGGAAGAAGGGAGAATTTTGATGTACTACTTTTGTTCCAGCTCTGTCACTTCCTAGTATCTCTGAGGATGCTTCCTTGATAATAGGAATGTGAAAGCAGAGAACACCGGTTTAAGCAGCCAAGTATGATTGATCCCATTATTTAGGACATAATCAAAACGTGAAAAGGTGTTGTCATTTTGAAAGTGTTATTTTGGAAGAAGACTCATGTCAAATATGACCTTTAAAAAAAATGGCAATTTTTGCAAAAATAATGAGTCTCTTCACGTTTTAACCATTGCCTCTTTGGACCACACAAAGGATTTTTTGGTGCACACATTGAATTATCATTGTTGAAATATCATGTCTTTTCTGAGATATGAAAAAATAACACATACGGAATGCGGAGAGAGTCAGAAAGATGGCGAAGAAAATACATCTTAGAAAAGTAGCACAACTTCCACATAAAGAGGACTCAAATGGTTTCAGTTTTAGTTAACAAAATTTTATTGAAAAAATAACCCGTAACATTCTCAAAGCGAAATTACTGAAAGGCTTGTTAGAAACCCGCTTTCAAAGACTAATTCTAGAGCTACAAAAGACAATCATTGAACCAGAAATATACAGAAAAGTCGAATAGCAGATGGTTCAAAATGATCATTTGCCAAAAGCAGTTCTGTTTGACTGTACTAAAATCTTTTTGGGCAAGGAAATTGGCAAAGAATAGCAGAGTCGAAAGAATTCTTAGCAAGACGATGACAAGGTTGGATTAGAGAATGCGTGGACATAAGATAAGGTACTTCCCCAAAATTGGTATATCCCGTGTCTATGATAATCGAAAAGCATGTGAAACTTTGCTGGCAGAGAGTTAATTTGCGAGAATCTAGTTCTTCTAAGTTCTTGCGCTAGTTTTTCTTTCAGATGATAATCTACCACAACCCCACAGCATCATCGTCATGCAATGCATTCACACGAGCCCCAGGAGAATCGAGAAACTCGCGACAAGTTCACGACTGCAGAAACCCCGACAGAGCAAGAACGGGACAATCAAGAACCACTAGCAACAAACAAATTCAATAATGCGTCATCAACAAGGAAAACAAGAAACATTAGCGATGGAGTTTCCAGAGACTCACAGGATGAACCCGTGCGAAGAATCGAAGAGCCCGCCTCGAACTCACGACATGCTCACGACTGCAGAAACCCCAACGGAGCAAGAACAGGAGGACATCCTGTGAAGCGAGAAACTCATTACATGCTCACGACTGCAGAAACCCCAACAGAGCAAGAACAGGAGGACAATCAAGAACCACTAGCAACAAACAAATTCAATGATGCGTCATCAACAAGGAAAACAAGAAACATTAGCGATGGAGTTTCCAGAGACTCACAGGATGAACCCGTGCGAAGAATCGAAGAGCCCGCCTCGAACTCACGACATGCTCACGACTGCAGAAACCCCAACGGAGCAAGAACAGGAGGACATCCTGTGAAGCGAAAACTCATTACATGCTCACGACTGCAGAAACCCCAACAGAGCAAGAACAGGAGGACAATCAAGAACCACTAGCAACAAAGAAATTCAATGATGCGTCATCAACAAGGAAAACAAGAAACATTAGCGATGGAGTTTCCAGAGACTCACAGGATCATTCGGTGCGAAGAATCGAAGAGCCTGCCTCGAACTCCATCCAGCAAGCCACAGAATCCATCGCCAGCACGCCGTCGCTCAGCCTCACCTCCGCCGTTGCCACGACCATTGTCGCCTTCCTCTGCCTCTCTGTACCGTCAACAATGATCCACCGCACAGGTAGCCGCATCTGGCTCCGGCCCTCTTCGATCGAGCCAAATCAGGCACCGCCAGCTCGACCGCGACTCCGTCGAGAGAGAGAGAAAAAGGGAATGAGTAGACGAAGAACAAATGAAGGAAGCACGGACGAAGCAGAAGAGAGGAAGAGGAGGCGATGGAGAGGGGGAGAGAAATGATCTGACGTGAGCGGAGTCTCTGTTTTCTTGTAGCCGTTGAGAAAGAGAGAGACGAGGCTGAAAAAGTAAATTCATCCCAACGGCTACCTCCCCGTCGCCAATTCAAATTCGAATTCTTAATCAAAAATGCGAAGGCAAATTTTACTGTGGGAAATGATTTGTTGATGATGATTTTTGATATATTAATTAGTTTTCATATAAAACGCGTTTCAATTTGATTAGTTAGGTATTCACTATATTAGTTGATTATAATCATCAAACACTTAACAAATACATTGGAATGATATACTAAGATGATTATATTTTCGTTTTTTTACGCTACCATTCCATGTATTCAGTTTTTATTGTCCAACGTACTCTGAGTAATTCTAAAATTTTACATTGGTGAGTCATCATTGACCGGATGGATTAAGTTGTAGTCAAGTAGTAGCATGTCATTTGTTTATGCATTTTTTTAATGATGTTGAAAAACACGTTTCCTTAAAGATATCTAAGCCGGTGAAAACACACACTCCTCTCTCTTTCCTTATAGACCTCTGCAACCACTGGCCCCTCCTCATTCCGGGCAACTATCGATGTCGGGCATTACCCTTGTCAAGGAACAAGATGATCAGATCGTGGACCGTGTTGATGTTGATCGAGACACTTTGCCGTTCTTCGCCACAAACGCCGTGGTGGCCTTCGTCATTGATCGCCATTCTCATGGTGGTTTGGAGGTGGAGCTGATCAATAAACGCCCGAAACTCGCGCCGTTGGTCGCGCGAGACGTAGTGGACAGAGTTTTCAGCTCCCCGTACAAATTCATCCGAGAGCGGGAACATCCAACTCGATGTCAATTTAAGCATTACGTAGTCATGCTCGACAAAACTGCCCTTGCGAATCACTGCCAAGCAAAACAAGGAACTGCTAGAAACAAGTCATTAAGGAGCCAAAAGAATCCGTATAGCGCTGACAAAAGCGATATCTATAGGTTTGGCGTAATCCTTGTTGTACTTTTAAGCGGCAGAAGCCAATCTCTTCTCTACGGGTAGAAGAAGGAAGAAGCCTTGCAGCCTACATTCTAATCTCTATTGAAGAGAATTTTTTGTTCGACATCGTTGATGCTCAAGTTCTAAAGCAACGTGAAAAGGAAGAGACGATGCCTGTTGTTAAACTCGCAAAAAGATGATTAGACTTGAAGGGAATGAAGCGACCTAGAAAGAAGTGGCAATCGAGTTAGAGGGATAAGGAAGCTGCAGCATCCTTCTTCCTATTCAACAAAATAAAAAGTAGTGAGGCGATTAGACATTGTGAAAACGTCTGCTTAACTGTTACCATGTCGGATGCTGATTCTGTCCTTTGACATTGACACAACAAAATCCTGATGTTCTTCTTAAAGAGTGCGACATACGAAATTAAAATATAGATAGAACTAACTTACAATGATTCACTAAATATGAGCGGTTGCAAGTTCGACAGTGTGGACACCTCAGATTTCGAATGTGTACTAGTCTCACACCTCTTATATATGTCCATGCTTGATGGCAGGATTTTCCAGCATTCTAATTCGTTCGAGTTCAATTGCCACTTCTTTCATTGTAGGTCGCATCTTCCCATGTAACTTCAGGCACCTTCTCGCAAGGTTCGCAAAGGTGACGATCCCTTCTTTCTTACCTTGTTTCAAAACTTGAGTGTCCACGATGTCGAACAGGCGGTTCTCGTCCATCGAGAGGAGAAAGTATCTCGCAAGGTTTCTCTCCTTGTCGTCTCCAAGAAATGCGATTGGCTCTTGCCCTGTCAAGAGTTCAACGAGGACCACACCGAAGCTGTACACATCGCTCTTGTCTGTGAACTGACCCAATTGAAAATACTCGGGATCCAAGTACCCAAATGTCCCTTGGACTCTTGTAGTCACGTGAGTTTGATCGAACAAAACCGGCTTGGAAGTGCCAAAGTCAGCCACTTTTGCGTGGTACTTGTCATCCAAGAGAATATTAGTAGACTTGATGTCCCGATGATAGATCGGGATTGATGCCGAAGAATGTAGATAGGACAAGGCTCCTGCCACTTCAGTAGCAATTCGAAGGCGCATGTCCCACGATACTAGGTTGTCATGTAAATACTGGAAAAGAGTCCCATTTGATATGAATTCGTACACCAAAAGTGGCGACTCTGTTTCCAAGCAACACCCCAGTAGCTTAACGACGTTCCTATGGTTGATGTGCGAGAGAATGGCAATCTCGTTGATGAACTGTTCAACATTTCCCATATTGATTGCCTCCGACTTCTTAATGGCAACGATTCCTCCATCTGAGAGCATCCCCTTGTAGACGATTCCTTGTGCGCCATGGCCAAGTATTCTGTTCTCGTTAAAATTGTCGGTGGCCTTCTCCAAATCCTTTGAATTGAAAAATTTGCTCTTGTCAACATTGTTCTCGGACGAACACAGTTGTTGCTGCAACAAGAGACCCCCATTCTGTTTGAAGTACCTTTCTTTGAGCTTGATTTGTTTCCTTTTCTTCATGAAATTGTGCGACAGCCATAACAAATGAATCAAGGGTAGTGCCACTAAGCCTGCTCCAATACCTGGTTTATCACACTGGTATGAGCATAACCGAAAGCAAGCATCAAGCATTTGCCTCTGATTTGAAGAGCAGAAAATGCTAATCTGATACTGAAGAGATTTACCTTAGACCTCTCTTGAATATCCATCCATTTCATCAAACAGAACGCTAATGTGATTGGTGCAAAATTAGTCTCCTAATGAAAAACTATGCATATAACAGAACAGCCATCTAGTCAGACGAGCAGCAGCCAGAAAATATAACAGAGTTATTGGTTGATCGAAATTATGCTGTTCATGCCCCAGGGGCATCAAGGGTAAAAAGGAAAAAACCTGGCACTAGGTTTGACATATTGTATGTGTCGATGAGTCGATCAAGTTGAAAAGAATGAACTAATTAGACTACAATTGTACTAAAAAATATGTACCCAAATCAAACAGCAAAATTGGATTCCGAAGAGCTCTATAGGAACGCCTAACAGCCGATCCACTGTAAATACATTATGCTATATGCTTTTTCTAATTTGTGGATTTTATCACTTATAGGCTAAATCTTGCGTTTATAGGGTGAGATATTCCGGAATATCTGGGTGCACAAAAGATCAACAGTCCTTGTTCATAACCCATGACACGATGTAGAAATTTGCTTACCCAATAGGATAAACTTGATTGCATGGCTTTCTTCTACACAATCATAGTGACCTGGTCGATTCACACACTTTCTGCCAGGGCACTGATTGTTCAGATCTTGGCATTCATCAATATCTGAACAAAAGATGACAATCAAAATTAGTAGAGCTTTGTCTCTTGATTGGGTGTTTAGGATTGCATGAAAAGCCACTTCAGCCACCAAAGAGCTACTTCTTCTTATCAGTACAGTGTTTCGACGTTATGCTTTCAATGATTGGTGTAATAAAATGTTACTGGTTTTACCTTCGCATCCATGTTTAATATAGGGGTTACCGGTGAAGCCCATGTTGCAAGAACACTGCAAAAATGGCATCTCCATCCGATATGCTAAATTGAAGCTGACCGTACTGCACTTATAGAAATTGCTGGAGATGAAGCTTTGTTCGTAAATCTCTAACCCAGGTCCTGAGGATTTAGCTATCCCCCATTCTAGCACTGCTGCAAAACGCCCGCTCACCCTCAACTCATTGAAGTCCATTGTCGAAGGTATGAACTGCGACCTATCTCCAAAGAAGGCATAACTGCATCCATTGTCTCCTGCTTTTTTTTTGTCGACCAGGAAAGTGATGGTGAAATCTTGAAAATTTGAGGTAATTGTGGTTTGGCAGCATCCATCGCTGCCCGAACAAGTCTTCCTAACAACGTTGTCATCTGCTTCGCAACTGGACTCGCATCCGGTGATAGCAGACTTCGTGTCCTCTATCAGAGCAAACGTGTTGCAACCAACAGCGGCGAAGACGTTCCTCGACTGGGAGAAGACGAACTGGCTTCCTTTCAAGCTCACAGGCGTGACGCTTCCATTGCCCCTGCAGCTCATACTCGGCGAGTAGATTATAGGAAGAATGACGTTGATCATGCCGTTTGTTCCGCCATAGTAATCCGGTAGCGAAATGTTGAGCACCCTCAAGTTGGGCTTTTTCAGTATTGGGACGGTGCCATTGCTGCTTTCCTGGCAGACGATCTCGTACCACTCGTCGAGGAAACACCCGGTCCCAATCCCGAAGGGGAAGGGAATGGCGACCCCACCACATGTTTGGGTGCAATTACCCATCACCAGAGGAGCAGCTAGTGATGCTTGTTTATGAAGCAAAAGAGATCCTAGAAGCAGAAGAATCTGAAACATACTTGCTTCTACCTCTTTTGTCAGGAGATCGTGGACCTGATCGAGAAGTGAACAGGAGGCGCGGTTACTTATACTCCTTTATCTTCTGTTGTCGTCAACCCTAGCATATCCTAGGATGCTTCCCATAGCAAAATTGTCAAAGCTTCAGATCCGTCCTGGAGTAATAAGCTCTCCACTGAAGTGGTTGTTTCGATCAAGTTTGCTCTGATGGCGATCGCGAAATATTGTGTTTCTGTCTCAGCTGAGGATATAAGAAAGAGATTAGTCCAAAAAAGAATCTATTAGGAAAGAAACCCTAATAATCACTTTCCTATTTGAATTAGAATTTATCTTGAAGGATTATTAACATGACATGTATAAAGAGACGAGTTTTTGGTCTTTGCAGAAGTCTCTGTTTGTTGGTCAATAAAAGTGCAAATCTTTATTTTTATTTTTTGGAAATAAAGAGGTAGATCCCGAAAAGTATATGATTACTTTCCTAATAAAAATATGATCCCTATGCATTAATGACATGCTAAAGAAACACTCATGAATGGCCGTAGATGACGTGATGATATTTCATTTTGATCGGGTAAAGATTCCAGCTGTTTAATTGTTTGATCGGAGTAATTTTTGGAATTGTGGCTCACATTTGAAATTAAGTCAAAGTTGAGTTGTGAAATCCGATTTAAGAGTTGTTGAGCTAAGAAATTATGGCGGAATGAGTAACTTTTCTACTACTAATATGTCGGTAAAGTAATTACCGTCACTCTACACCATCAATGTGATGTTTATTATTATGAATTTAATCTTGACGCATCGTACTCCGGGCGATCACGGCCGCGAAAAATCATCCTAAATATTACTATTGAACATAGAAAATTTCGGATGTAACAATACCATTCCACAGTGGAACCAGACCAAACCGAGAACCAGTCAAACAAAAACTCTAGTTCTTTTTTAATCTTTGCAGCTCATTTCTCTACCTCTCTCTCTTTTTCTATGTCCTCTCCAGCCTTAATCGCTCACGACTCTCTCTCTCGCTCGCTCGCTCGCTCACAACTCTCCCATGCGTTGCTCTCTGTGTCATTCGCCACTCCAGTGCAGTCAACACTCGATAGCTCAACACCAGGCTTGGATCCATTTGCAGGTTTTGTCTCGGACAAAAATCATCGAGAGGTAAAATCTCTTCAACTTCCTGCAGCTGTTGCCTCTTTATCAAATCTCTTGAACTTTTATGTCTTGGGAAAATGAACAGCGACATCGGAGGTTGTTGTTTTACGCACTTTAGTCCCAATCCTCTCTCAAGACACGGGAAATTAACCTGAAGTAGTTAAATTCATAAAACATGCTGATGATCGAGCATCAGAAATGGGGTTGATTAACTGAAATAGTTTGTCTTAACTTCATGGAATTAACACATACTAAGAAGAACAAAAAAAAATGTGTAATGTGTTGAAATTCTGAAACTAGCATCTAATTTCTATAGTCTCTTAGCCGACATGCAAGGGGAAGAACACGGCGTCATGCTCTGCAAATCGTTGATTTGTGCCATGATAGCTTTAGAGAACGAAAAGAAATCCTCCGTCCTCGAGAATGAAGTGAAGCAAGCTTCGGAATTACTAGAAAGAGCATGAAAGGCGGGATCGCACATACATATATATATTCGGAATGACATGGCATTCTGTGATTATTCCTTTCCCAACTGGGAACCAATGGATGACTTGCTAATAGGGGCCCCTGTGGTCTTCAAGATGAACTGAGAACTTTTATTAGAACAAGCCATTGACTTTCCTCAGCCCACATGCTTCAGCCATTGTTCCTTAGCTACTAGCTATAGCGCTGAAGATGACTTTCCTCAGCCCACAAGCTTCCTGGTGGGGAGCCACCCCCTGAGCATGGCTGAGTCCATGGTCTCATGCCCCACCTATTGTCCACCATATCACAAGTTCTCGTCATGTCACGTTCGAGCCTCTAACAAACTTGTGCCCGTGGGCATTGCTACCTTGTGAGGAGAGAATTATGAATTGTTTACACCCCGGTTGGGCTATGTTGACAAGCTTTTCTCTGGGGTCTCGAGTGGTCCGAAACACTTCCACCACAAACACTGTTCGCTTCGCTGCGGTACTCCTATGATAATGTCCATAGACAGTAAGCATCGGTCGCCTGGCTAATCAATTCTTTTGTTCTCATGATCATTGTTCCGAACTTCTGAGTTAACACAAACACTTCCATCACTTGATACACTAAGAGGTCATGAATTGGAAATGGAGAAACATCTTGACGATGGCCTCGTCTCAAAAATCCACATAGAAAAAAAATATCTCAGCAAAGGATTAGTACGTTTAACGAAAATTAGGAATGGAGCAGCGTGCCATTTGCGTAATGTCCAGGCATTTTATCGGATGAAGCAATCCTTTCTCAATTCATGAGGTTTCGATCAACGATTCGTATTTCAACTCTAGATTTCGATAAAGGATTCTGCCTGTTGGCTGGGCCACGCTTTACCAATTCCTTTTCTTTGTCGTTTCTAGCCCAGGCTTGTGGATGTGGGCTTAAGGAAGAAGGTTCGTGGTTTCCGAGAAGTAAACTGCGAGTTGTGATTATTAAAATAAAGGACTCGTAGAGAAAAAAACAAGCCCTGAAACTATAGTAAAAAAGGAAGCCAATATTTGTCATGATCCCTCCTTCTGATTTTATTTTTAGGGGGTTTTTTAAAAAAAAAAAAATTTTTAAATTTTGGGGGGAAGAAAGGAAAAATAGAACAAAGTTCTAATAATAATCACATTCAAATAATCCGGTACATGCCAAGCTTTTTGTAGTATTAACCCTTTTTTTTGTTGAATAAAACAACTTCATAGTTTAACTCCACCATTTGGTGCTGAATTTATAATTCAATATCTAGAACACCAAACTAATTAAAGATCCTTAAAAATTTGCATCGATAAACAACATGACTTGCGTTCCTCTCAAGTGTAAATTGATCAAACATTGGCGGGACCACTTTTTCCGGCCGAAGCCAGGACCTACACCTATGGAGAAAGGGGATATGGGGTGAGTCCCACCATATTGTTATTTAAGTGGAAGAAGGAGAAGAACTTGCATGTACTGTACGAATAATTATATTCCAGCTCTGTTACTTCCTAGTATCTCCGAGGATGCTTCCTTGAGGATAGCAATATCAAAGCTTGATAGGTGTAGCGCACCAATTTAAGCAGCCAAGCGTGACTTTTTCGATTGTTGACATAATTTTGTCATGATCTTTCTCATAAAAAAGACTTGGAGCGTCACCAAGATGAATGACTTTTCTGGATCCCTTTATCATGGACTCCGTTAAGCACATAAGAATTGAGATATTTATTCATTTCTATACCAACTTAAATTATTCCTTGCATGCATTAATTCTTTTTTTTTTTCCTAGACCAAAATCATGTGAATTCTTGCTCATTTACATTAGATTAAATATTTGTTCCGCGTAATTGATACAAAATTTCAAATTTCATTGCCAATCTTTTTGTTTAGTATTGATTAGCTCGGTCGCTTACACTTTCTGATTTAAAATGAATATGGTCTTTCCTTGCTGTTCTCTTCTCTGTTTCCTGCTTTGATTGCTCCATTTTCTTCTAATGAGTTGTATGAGAGTTTTTAGTTTCTCTTTAATGCGGCTCCGAATTGTGTTGTGCGATTTCTGCAATTCCCAGATCTGTGATTCCAAATTTCTCTCTCTTTTTTGTTTTTGTTATCGATGCTTTGTTATTTTTTTAAAATTTACGGGTCTATTTTCGGATGTGGCACCTCTAAATTACATGAAAAAAATTCTTAGCTCACCATTTTCCATCCATCAATGTGGACAGAATGGACGGAGAAATTTGATTACATCAATTTGGCAAGTTTTAGAATTTGATTGCACTTTTTGAAAGTTTCTTGACTTAATTGCACTCCTGTGATAGTTTTAGGACCTTCTGGTACACTTATCTCTATGTTTTATAACATTTGGAAGTCTTCTCTCTCCCTTGTGCCGGCCAAGATGTAACATGGTCAGTTTTACTGTTCATTTTAGAAGATTTCCACACGGTTTGGACCACACCAATAACATATTTAGTATTCAGTCATTGTTTGGCAGAATAGAAGATTAAACGCACGTTGGTTTCTGATAAATAATCTTTCTACTGTTATTTATCTGTTACTAGTTCGAAACTTCAGTCATCACCACAAAGCAATCACACATACAATATAGATGGGGTGGTACTAGGAAGTGTATCGCATGATATAAATGGTCGTATGCTCAAATTTATTTTCTTGGTTGTGCTGAAGTCAGTTTAACCATGATGAATAAATGCAACATATGACCATAACTGACTTGAACCCATGATACATCTCATGAAATTCTGCAAGTAACAAGCTAATTGATTCGTGAAGGCTGGTTCAACAAAGATGCTTCTCCGCAGGATTACCTGTGTGACTGATGTAATTTCTGCAATAATCATATTGACAGCAGGTAATTCATGGCATTCACGATCAAGTAAAATCACTGCATCATGCTCGAGCAAGATGATTGCAATTTGCAAAGTATTTCCAAATTGGCACATCCACTGAATGATAACGCCTAGCGAATTACAAAGACCTAATAAATTTGGGATAGTATAGTTTAACATTTGACCGATCCGAACTCCGAGAATAACTTCATAACCAATAACTAACCAACCAAAGTCCTATTAATGAAGGAACGAGTTTTCCTCCATTCTTTCTTTTCTCTTTCTTTTGGTCTGAAGACCGATTTCCATGACAAACAGAGCAATATGACTCATAAGGGTAAGAGGCAAAACAGATCTTCACCACGTCTCACTAGGTAAAAGTGGCTGAACATCCGAAAATGTAATGACATCCATGTCAACGTTTGACTTCTTAGATGGAAAAGCAGCATCATAAGATTTAGTTGCTTCACGGTTCTCCTGATTTTGTAGTATACCCCAAGGATTTCGGAGCTTCCTTATCCCCTCCAACTCCATTGCCACTTCTTTCATTGTTGGTCGGTTCCTCCCATTCAAGTTTAAGCACCTTTTCGCAAGGTTAGCAACTGATGCAATCTCTTCCTTGTTACCTTCTTTCAAAACTTGAGCATCGACAATGTCAAACAAGCGATTCTCCTCCATCGAGATTATGAAATAGGTCGAGAGGCTTCTTCCTTCTTGTTCCCTCAGTGAAGAAATTGGCTTTTGCCGCGTTAAGAGTTCAACAAGTACCACTCCAAAGCTGTACACATCACTTTTGTCTGTGAATTGACTTGATTGGAAATACTCGGGATCTAGATAGCCGAAAGTGCCCTGCACCAATGTGGTTACATGAGTTTGATCAAGGGAAACCGACTTGGAAGTACCGAAATCTGCCACTTTTGCTCGATATTTCTCATCCAAAAGGATATTGGTGGACTTGATGTCTCAATAATAAATGGGAATAGAGGCTGTTGAATGCAAGTAGAATAATGCTCCTGTGATTTCAGTTGCGATTCGTAGCCGTGTGTCCCACGTTACATGAAACTCTTGATTTGGGTCATGCAGATATTGATATAGAGTCCCATTTGATATGAACTCATACACTAAAAGCGGGACTTCCGTCTCCAAGCAACACCCCAATAACTTAACCACATTCCTATGGTTGATTTGTGAGAGAATGAGGACTTCATTTATGAACTGTTCGACTTTTCCCTCGTCGATCACTTTTGATTTCTTAATCGCAACTATTTTTCCATCTGTTAACATTCCCTTGTAAACAGTACCCTGTCCACCTTGCCCAAGTATCCTATCATCATTGAAATTGTCAGTGGCCTTCTCTAAATCCTTGGAATTGAACAATTTGCTTTTCTCAACGTTGCCTTCCGGTGAAGATAGCTCGCTTTTCAACAAAAGGCCACCATTGCGTTTGAAGTACTTCTCTTTGAGCTTGATTTCTTTTCTCTTCTTGATGTATTTGTACAACCTCCACAAGAAAATACACAAAACTAGTGCCCCAACGCCTGCCCCAACCCCTGAATTGCAAAAATTTAAGGGGTAAAAGTGTTGAAGATGTGCCCTGCTTGTCAAGAATCTAAGAAGGCACTTATCATCAAGAATTAAAGTGACTCTGATTGATAGGATAGGAGTAAGAACAGCATTGGTGCAAGCATGTACGGAGGCAAGGCTTTGGTGCCAAAAGTTCGATTGGATCATATGGAAAATTCCAGATCAAGTGTCACATTGGCATTTATAATTAAATTTTTAATCTTAGTTGGATTTTTATAAAAAAATTAGTCTACGTGGCATTTTGTATATATTTCGATTTTTTAAATACTTTTTCTGAATTTTTTTCTTTTTTTTTTTTCTTCTTTTCTTTTTCTTTTCTTTCTTCTCCCTTTGGTCACCTTCGAGTGGCAGGAGACACTTTGGCCCGCGCCCCCTGGCCCGCCCCCCGGCCACCCGGCCGCCCCCCTCGCCTCGGACGGCCGCCGCCAGGCGGGCGTGAGCCGAGGCCGAGCCTCGCCGAGGCCCTGGGCGACGACCGGCACGCCGTGGCGAGAGCCATCGGGTGGGCCTCGCCCTCGCCACCATGCGGCGAGGCGCCTCGCCGGGCTTGCCCGTCGTCACCCGGGGGCGAGGCCTCGCCTCGTGGCGGGTGGCCGGCGATCTCCTCGCCCGGGGCGACGGCGACGGGCGGGCCCGCGAGGTCGGCCTCGCCTCAGTATGGGCGAGGCGAGCCCCGGCGAGGCTCCTCGCCAGATCCGGAGAGCCGATCGTCGCCCGAGGCCACGGCGGCCCGACGGGCGTCGCCTTCCCGGGCGACATCTCGGGCGGGGCCGCCGTGGCCCGGGCGACGGCCGGCTCGATGGATCCGGCGAGGAGAGCCTCGGGGCTCGCCCTCGCCCATGCGAGGCGAGGCCGACCTCGGGCTTGCCCGCCGCTGCCCAGTTAGCAGGGTCGATCGGCCTCGCCGGACGAGGCCGCCGCCCGCCACAAAAGGCGAGGCCCGGCCAAACCTCGCCTGGGCGACGGCGGGCAAGCTCAACGAGGTCGGCCTTGCTTTCGCATGGGCGAGGGCTCCCCTCGCCAAATCCGGCAAGGCCGGGCTGTCGCCTGTGCCACGGCTGCCTGCAGCCTCGTTGGGCGTCGCTTCCCCCGGCGACGTCCGGCGGGAACGACGTGGCCTGGGCGACGGCCGGCCTCGCCGGGCTTGCCCGCTGTCGCCCAGCGAGGGTCGGCCGGGCCTCACCGTGTGGCGGGCGGCGGTGGCCTCGTCCGGGCGAGGCCAAAGGGGCCGGGTGGAGCCGGGCCTCCGGCCACCGACGGTGACCAAAGGGAGAAGAAAGAAAAGAAAAAAGAAAAGAAGGAAAAAAGAAAGAAAAGAAATAAAAAGAAAAAAATTTATTTAAAATAAAAAATGCTGACTGTGCGTGCTCACTGTATCTCCAGCGAGCCACGTCGGCTTCAAATACTAATAAAAAATTGCCACGTCAGATTTCCGACCAATCAGATCGGAGTTGACACTTAAAAGATCGTTTTTCAAATTTTTTGGCACTAAAGTGATCCAAATGGAACTTTTGGCACCAAAGTGGCTTCCGTACACAAGTTTTGGCACGAATGCTGTTCTTACCCCCTCTCCAATCATATGGAATCATCTTAACAACCATGAAAAGTTAATTTGTCTCTAGTAATTTTTCAAACCATTGATGAAAGTGAAAAAGTTCCTTTGTAATAATTCCATTTCAAATATGACGAGAATAAGTAGGAATTTTTTATATCTTTTGATAAATAGGAAGCGACGACACTAGAACAGTTCAAGTGTTTTCGTATCTATCAAATATTAGGGTGCAGAGAAAGTTCCACGGTCATTTCGATAGATACTGTCGATTGAAAGTTACGTATAATCATCAATAAGCTAATGGGCAATCATGTTAAAACAAACGGTAAGGTAAAACAATACTCGAGAACAAGAAGCGGTCTGAAATTCATACTCGAGAACAAGAAGCGGTCTGAAATTCATAGTTACAAGATCAACTTACCAACAAGAATAACTGTCTTTCTACCAGCGACGCAGTCAAAGCTGCCCTGTTTGTTCACACAAATCCCGGAGCACACATTTGGATCTTCACATTCATCAATATCTGATAATAGATGATAAAATAAACATATTAGCAGCGAAACCCATCTCTTTGAGTAAAATTAGCGAGACTATTAGGTCCCATTTCCTCTGAAGTTGTTAAATCCAAAGCTAAAATATCATGCTTGTAATGAAAGGACTGTCCTGTTCTTTGTTTCCAGTAAGTTATTATCACTATAATTCAATCGATTTTGTTTGAAAGTTCATTCACTTTGTATAATCTTGGGCAGATAAACAAGAAAAAGAAGGCAGATAAGCATGCACTACAAAAAAACCGTGCTTTTCCGATGAAAATTTGCGACGAAAAAATTTTCGTCGGAAATTTGCGATGACTTTTCCAACGAAAAATAAATTCGTCGGAAATTTGCGACGAAAAATTTTTCGTCGCAAATTTCCGACGAAAACTTTTTCGTCGCAAATTTCCGACGAATTTTTCCTACGAAAGATTTTTCGTCGCTAATTTCCGACGATTTTTGCGACGAAATATTTTTCGTCGCAAATTTCCGACAATTTTTGCGACGAAAAATTTTTCGTCTCAAATTTCCTACGAATTTTGGCAACAAAAAATTTTTCGTCGGAAATTTCCGACGAATTTTACGACAGAAATTTATTCGTGGCAAATTTCCGACGAACTTTGCGACGAAAAATTATTCATGATAAAATTTACGACGCGGAAAATAATTTTTTTGATATCCGTCCCCACCCCCAATTTCTCTCTGTCGACTGATTCCTCTTATCCCCTCGCTGTTCTCTCTCCGTCTCTCTCTTTCATTTCTCTCGATTTACCTATCTGTGCACGCGCAAATCAATCTCGGTAAAGCTTTTCCATCGGTAAGTGTTGTGGCTAATTTCGTGACTAATTGGCGACGAAAACGGTTCGTTGCAAAATTATTCATCGCTGGATTTGTATTTGTTGGTGTTATTGAAATTTTTTTTTTCTCTTCCTTACTGGTTTGGCCGGTCGCCGGAGACATCGCCGGCCATGGGGCGAGGTCCAGTGGCCTGGCCATGGCCGCCGGTCGGCCTCGCCGACGCCCAGGTGGGCTAGCCTCGCATAGGCCTTGCCATGGCCGGTGAGCTCGAGATTTGGGCGAGCTCGCTGGCGGCGAGGCTGGCCCTCGCTGGCACTGGCGAGGGCCGAGCTCGCCATGGCCGGCGAGCTCGAGCTCGCCCAGATGTGGGCGAGATCTGGGCGAGCTAGAGCTCGCCGGTGGCGAGGCTGGCCCTCGCCGGCACTGGCGAGCTCGAGCTCGCCCAGATGTGGGCGAGATCTGGGCGAGCTAGAGCTCGCCGGTGGCGAGGCTGGCCCTCGCCGGCACTGGCGAGGGCTGAGTTCGCCATGGCCGGCAAGCTCGAGCTGGCCAGCGGCGAGGCTAGCCCTCACCGGCACTGGCGAGGGCCGAGCTCGCCATGGCCGGCGAGCTCGAGGTTGCCCAGATCTGGGCGAGATCTAGGCGAGCTCGAGCTCGCCGACGGCGAGGCTAGCCCTCGCCGACGGCGAGGCTAGCCCTCGCCCGGCGGCTTAGCGGCTCTGCCGCAGACAAAGAGGGCCGAGGCTCGCCATGGCCGGGCGAGCTCAAGCTCGCCCAGAACTCGCCCAGAACTTGCCCAGGCGAGCTCGTCGATCGCCGGACCGGCGACCGGCCAAGAAGAAAGGAAAAAAAAAAGGAAAAGAAAAAGAAAGAGAAAAAAATAAAAGATAATTAAAAAATGAATGTTAAGTAATTTGTTTTTATTTTAGGTACGTGTCCATTTGAAGGTCTCGCAATCCAAGTGAACGTTGCAATTCTCATCAAATAGACCACTTTCTACTACAAAAGTTTCAGTCAAATACTTGATAAGTCTTCTTGACATGGTAATTTTTTCATTTTTTTCAAATTGAAAGTAATTGTTTAGTAAAAAACAAAATTGTAATTGTTAGAAATTTATGGTTTTAATTAACAATATTAAACAATAGATTTGATATTTTTAATATTGTACAAGAATTTTTTTATTTTTATAGAGACACAATGCAAAGAGACAGGAGTTGGATGTATAATAAAAATTTACCTGGACGTTGAGGATTGACCGATGAGTTTCGAATTGGGTTGGAACTATTTTTGGACTTTGCTAGTAATAAATATGAGTTCATGGATGGAAATAAATTAAGGTGTCCATGTGGAAAGTGCAGTAATGGAAAATTTCAAGACATTGACAAAGTTAGAGAATATCTTTGTAGATTTGAGTTTACTCCGAACTATTATAATTGGACTTGCCATGGTGAACCATTTATATCTGATGACGGATATCGAAGAAGCGACCAATTTTTAGTTAGGTAAGAATGTAGCTATTATGATCAATTGAACCCATATCAGGGAATGGTGTTTGATGAAGCCGGTCATAATTTTGTTTCAGAATCGAATCATGCAAGTACTAGTTTTACTCCTACACTTGGACAAGTGGGAACTAGTCATGCATCACAATTGAAAGAGATAGGAGTTACAGGTTTTGATGAGAATGTGTGTGATGGAACTTTTCAATCTAATCAGTTCTGGGAAGTGTTGAAAACAGCAGATGAACCTTTATGGGCAAAGTTGTGACAACCACTGAAGGTATCGATGATGAAAAACTGTTAAATATCAAGGCGAGTATAATGTGTCTCGTGGATTGCTTCAACTCTTTTGTTGAAGTAATGCGGGAAACAATGCCTCGTGATAACATCATGCCAAGTGACTTTTACGATATGAAAAAGCTAGTTGATAACTTAGGTCTTCCAGTTGTAAGGATTGATGTATGTAGTAGGGGTTGTATGTTATATTAGAGAGACAATGAAAATGCAGAATCATGCAAATTCTGTAGCCAACCTAGGTACAAGATTAACAGGAGGCAGGGTCGTAATCAGAAGCATAGACCATACAAGCAAATGTTTTATTTGCTCTTAATCCCCAGGTTGCAAAGGCTTTATGCGTCTCAAGCTACTGCTGAACACATGACTTGGCATGCAAATCATGAAACAGAAGAAGATCTAATATGTCATCCTTCAAATGCAGAGGCATGGAAACATTTTGATAGAACATACCCAGAGTTTGCGATAGAGCCTCGAAACATCAGGTTAGGTCTGTGTGCTGATGGATTTGCCCCATTTGGGAAATCAGGAAAAAGTTATACATGTTGACCAGTTATCTTAACTCCGTACAATCTTCCACCCGGTATGTGCATAAAGACACCTTATATGTTTTTGACATTGATCGTGACTGGCCCGCAAAATCCGAAAAAGTTGATAGATGTTTATATGCAACTATTGATTGAAGAGTTACAACGGCTATGGGACGAAGGTGTCCCTACGTATGACGTTTCTACCGATCAAACATTTGTAATGAAGGCTGCTCTTCTTTGGACGATAAATGACTTTCCAGCTTATGGAATGTTATCTGGATGGAGTACAGCTGGGATCTTAGGATGTCCGATATGTATGGAGAGATCGAAGGCATTCAGATTAAAACATGGTAAGATGCCCAGTTATTTTGATTGTCACATGCAATTTTTGCCGCTAAATCATACATTTAGAAGGAATAAAAAAGAGTTCATCAAGAATAGGATCGAAAGAACACATCCACCATTGAGGTTGACCGGTCATCAAATTTGGGAGCAAGTGCAAGAGTTTTCAACTGTTGTTGAAAACCCTAACGGCACAACTATTGGGTACGGAAGTACACATAAGTGGACTAAACGCAGTATATTTTGGGATTTACCATATTGGAAGGCCCATCTTATTCATCATAATCTTGACGTTATGCACATAGAGAAGAACGTTTTCGACAATGTCATAAATACTGTGATGGATGTTACTGGAAAAACAAAAGACAACTTGAACGCAAGAAAAGATATGAGGGATATTTGCGATCGGCCAACACTAGATGCGGATGCAAGCAGCAGAGGACCAAAACCAAAAGCTATTTATATATTGGACAAGGAGCAGAGACGGGTCGTTTGTCAATGGTTGAAATCAGTGCGATTTCCTGATGGATATGCTTCCAATCTCAGGAGATGCGTTGATTTGAATGAATGCAAGTTGACAGGTCTGAAGAGTCATAATTGTCACATATTTATGGAAAGACTAATTCCAATAGCCTTCAAGGAACTTCTATCAAACTTTGTTTGGGGCGCCATTACAGTGTTAAGTAATTTTCTGCATGATATTTGCTCAACAGCGTTGAAGGCATTACACATGGAGAAACTAGAGAGAGATATTCCAATTATTCTTTGCAACTTAGAAATGATATTTCCTCCATCGTTCTTTGATTCAATGGAGCATCTCTTAGTTCACTTGCCTTACGAGGCCAAAGTTGCAGGTCCTGTCCAATTTCGATGGATGTATCCATTTGAGAGGTAAATTTATTTTAAATAAATTTGAAATTACTTCATTATATATTATGTTCCGATAAACTTTATTCTATTGCAACTAGGTTCTTATATCATTTGAAGAAAAAAGTGAAGAATAAGGCATGTGTTGAAGCTTCCATTTGTAATGCATATATTGTGGAAGAAGTGACAACATTTGCATCATACTATTTTGAGCCGCACGTGCAGTGCAAGAGGCGGAGAGCAGGGAAGAAATGATGAGGGCCCCATTGATCCCAATTGCAAATCATTCTTTATTTTCAATTATTTGGGTCGACCAATACGCGCATGTAAGTTTCGTCACTTAATTGTGAAGAAAAGAAGGCAGCCCATACATATATTTTACTGAACTGTCCAGAAGTTGAGCCATATTTCAAGTAAGTGTACATTTGTAAGTATATGTATTGTGTGTTAAACATTTGCTAATATATAAATGGTATTTGTTAATAGGATTTTCCAAAATTCAATGTTTGGACTACCACCGAATGAGTTTGATCGTTTGTGCAAGGAACAATTTGCAACATGGTTCGAAACATATGTAAGTTGTATATAGACGAAATCCAAGTTATTCGAATTTTTTATACATCATATATTAAAATATATATTATTGTGTGTCCTTAGGTT